TTTTTTTAGCGAGCTAGTTTTCTATGCGATTGGGTCGCTAACCCCATGTCCAAAACCCCTCCTTTATCTGGGCTTTGGACCGGTAGTAGCCACGGGGGGCTCCAGGCGGACTTAGAAACTGAGTCCTAGACTGAAGGTAGTAAGAATTTAAAATGATACATTTTTTGATATTTTAATCTTCCAAAATACAATTCAAGTTATTCATTAACGAATGGAGATATTCACTAATAAATTCTGCTAAATATTTTCAATTTTATAAACTATTTATTGACTTTGATTTTAAATAAGATAATACATATTTTTAATAGTTGAATTCATCAATCGATTGAAGCTAGATCACCATGGAAAAATCGGAACCATTGGATGGCCATTTCGTCCTAGTATGGGACTCCTCAGCAGTGCATAATTCTCTATCAAACAATCTACCTAAAAAATGTATCAAAACTTCAATAAAATCCTCCAACAAAGTTAAAAATCTACCTTTTACTTGAAAAAATAGTTTTGTGTTCCCCTTATGATTTTGTTTTCCTCCGATATTATGAATGAAATCTATATAAGGAGAATTTTACATGTATCTTTCATTTAAATGCTATGCCAGATCATATGACTAAATTATAAATAATAGTAAAAAGAAAACCTAACCTATTTTTACTAAAACGACGCATGATATTCCAATAAAGATGAACATCATTGTACTGTCTAGCCAATAATGATGAGAATATAAATAACTAGTTGTATGGTTAAGGTCTTTCTATCATCAGCTGATCTTGTTTTTTTTACGTATAGTTTTTCACAATGTTCTTACTGTATTGAATTTCAGTAAAAATAAAACATTTTAATAGAAATTTTATTTCAATTTAATAGTTGAATTCATGAATTAATTGAATTTAGACCACCATGGAAAACCTGGAAGCACTGGATGGCTGTTTCATCCTTGTGTGAAATTCCTTAGTAGTACTTATTCACGATCCCGGCTCGCAGAATTCGAACCCAAGACCTGTCAGTCTCACGCGAGAGCACTTAACCAGTAGACCACTGAACCGGCCGGCATTCAACAGTGTTAATGTCTAACTTCAACTGATCCACGAAATTGCACCACCATCCATCATTGTCATCAGTGAGTTACTATCTCATGAGGTGCGATCGTAGATGCGCACTGCTGAGGAGTCCCACACAGGGACAAAACAGTCATCCAGTACTTCCAGGTTTTCCATGGTGGTCTAACTTCAATGGACTTATGAATTTAACTATTAAATTACTGTAATATCCACAAAACCCCTCTCTGATTACAATTTTACATTTAAACAAAGAAAGAATAAAATGAATTCATTCTATTATCTTTATATAACCTCTAAATTATTACGTTTCAGTATAAAAATACTCATCCATCTGAACTATGTTTATTCATACACTTTATTTCCCCATTATTTTTTATTATTATGAATTTAGTTACATTCGAAAGATGTATTTAAACTTCACAAAGTAAAGTATGATAAACTGATGAGAAACCGTGAAATATAATCAATTCATTTTATTCTGTAAACCTATTTGTTCTTGATCTGTTTAGATTTATCAAGGGATCTGCTTGTATAAAATTCTATATCAGTGGAGACTGTTGAGTTTTGATTGAAATCATGAATCGATCAATGTTGAATCACCATTGAAAACCTGGAAGCGTTAGATGGCCATTTCGTCTTGGTATGGGACTCCTCAATAGTGCATATCCACAGTTCCGCAGGTGGGTTTCAAACCCAAAACAAAATCTCTGCCCGGTGCTTCCAGGTTTTTAATGATGGTCTAACATCCATCGATTTATGACCTTAATTAAACTTTTATACTCATTGCACGTTAATTACTTTGAATGAGTACTAGATTTCTATTTGAATTTCCAGACCCTAAGTGTAAGTGGTTTCCCATACATTTTCCTGGGTTTCTAAGAGGTTATTATACATTATATGTTCAGTGTGAGAAAGGTACTCAAAAAAGACAATGAAAGATGACTACGCAATATGGCGGAAATATTGAATTTAGACTGGTACAATATCAGATACCGGCTCAGTGGTCAAAAAGTGAAACATTAGTGTATTAGGCTAACGATCATGGGTTCTATTCTCTGTGATGGAGCTAAAACAACCGTGCATTGTTACCACGTTTTTAATAATTGTCTTAAACTGATTCGTAATCTTAACGGCATTATGATAATGGTAGATGAAAGCGGTATCATCCATTTCTTAAGAGAATTACATCTATTAATTGAATGCGCTCTGGAATAAAAGTTCGTTAATAATACCCATTAATTTAAACTGGAACGAGTTTGTATTGCTTATTATAAATAATTTTCCTGTTAAATAAAAAAAGATAGTAACAGATGTCTGATTTGAACTACTGAATTCTGTTAGTAGTTGCAGAAATTCTTTCCAATTTTCTTAAATGCTGACAAAAGGTTGTTATCTTTGATTGTGAGCTTTCTTTATAGTAATGTATTTCAAAATGAAAGCTTATTATTAAACTCATATTTTGTTGATTCGGGCTGTTACTTTCTTTAAGGGTTAATTTCATTTTGACGGAAAATTTACCTCAAAATAACATAGAACAAGATTTAGTGAAATTAGTTATTTTCATAAAAGTTGTTTATATTCTCATCCAAAGGTTTATTATTATTTTCTTAAGAACTATCTACAGTAAACATCACGAAATAACTTTAACTCTACGATGAAAACCTTAGACAAACATTGTTTTATTATTATGAAGGAAGTACTCATATTCAGTCCTCTCGCCAAACGCATTACCTTTGAACCATTAAGATGCAATTAAACAGGCATGTTACCATATAAATCAATGTTGAATTCTATAGAATATTCTGTAGAATACAAGTCATATCCTAGTGAAGTCTTGGTGGATATTAATCGTATTGGGGATGGAGATTGCGACGATTCTTCTGTACAAAATGGTATTACTAAAGATAGAAACATTTACTTATATTTACTTGTGATTTTTTGTACCATAGATTTTATGTTGTTTATTGTTCACAGAAATTTGTCAGTAAATTCACATTACTCAAATACTAAATCTTTGTATACATTCAGAGTCCTACAGTGATAACAACAAAAGTGAATGTCCTATGAGTTAAATCACGAACCGATTTCATTCGAACCACTGTTGAAAAATTGGAAACACTGGACGACCGTTTTGTCTGATTGTGGGGATCTCCACTAGTTTTCACTCAAGGTTCCGCCCACAGTAATCAGACTGAAGACCTTCAGTCTCACATGTGGGCGCCATAATCCCCACGGATCTCCATACACTAAAAATCAATCTGTTGATTTTTAAAAAAATAAGATGATCAATATATTACCTCAATGTATTAATATTTAAGTGCGGTGTAAAACTAAAACGTCCCTGTAAACAGATTTTTTTCTGATTAACATTAATAAGAATATAGGAGCTGATTTCGGTAAAATTTTAAGGTGAATACTGTACTTCTATTTCAGTTTTTGATGTGTTTTTGAATCAGTGAACAATAGGTAGAATAAAAATACCTCTTATCGGGTCACTGTTGTTTTCAAAATAGAGGTATAAAAAGAAAGTGAATTGAATTCATGAAATGATAACAAGTAAATTTTACGACATTTCGCTGTATAAGTTACAGAAAAACTATCCAGAGACACCGTGGTTACTAGTGATATGCACCGAGAAGAATATACATTATCCAAATGTCGATTCCTGAACTGTTAACATCTAACTGGCAACTACTCAATATTTATCATGAGGATCAATCAAGAAATAAGAAAAGGGAATTTGTTGGAATACTTTGTGCTGAGAATTCTATATTGCACCAAAAATATAATATTGAATACAGCTGCCAATAATAATCATAATAAAGGTAATTTTTAGTATAGTTTCGATGAGAACGATAAGTTTTAGCATTTCAGTAAATCACAGTTATCGTTGATTTTCCAGTCCATATTGATTTACATTAAAAAGATCATTGAATTCATTGAGAATTTAGAAATATAATCTAAGCTACATTTTAGTCAAACACCCAGATAAGAGACTCATTGATGGGTAGTCATATTCCATGTACCTAAATAAATGGTTGCTCTGATTGTCAGAAGGGGCATCGTTCTCGTGACTTCCGAAGGAAATCGGCCTTCATCATGAGGCGTCATAACTCTTCTAAATGAAGACCTTCTGACTCCCAGGGCAGAGTTTAAATGGTTTGAATAATTTTTCTGATTAGCGTTTTTTCAGCGAGTTAGTTTTCTACAGGATTGGGTCGATAACCCCATGTCCAACCCTCCTCCTCTATCCGGGCTTGGGACCGGCAGTAGCCCCCGGAGGGACTCCATCGGGAGTTGGGTATTCATATACTAAAATCAAATAATTCAAGATTATGATCACCAAATATAAACTGAATCAAAATAATAAGATGATAAGAATAAATCTTTTTTTTTTGGTGTTGATTTCTCTAACCTGAATGATTTAATTGTAAAGTTCACATTTTCATTCTGGACAATATCATCAATGTCTGCTATATGAAGTAGACACTTAGAGAATATAACATCATCAAAAGTATTCATCTAACCTGGACATCTTCATCAATTTCGAATCTAAATGCATAGGCGATAGATATGAATATGGTTTATTACTGGTGTTTTCTTCATGTATGTATTTTTTAAAAATCATTATTTTGAGTGAAATACCCTTCCACCAAAAGTAATTTTTTTTGTATATTGTAAATAAGTTAAATATTTTAATAGTTGAGATCATGAATTAATTGAAGCTAGACCACCATGAAAAACCTGAAGCCACTGAACGGCCGTTTCATCCTACTGTAGTACTCCTCAGCAGTGCGCATCTATGATCTCATCTCACGAGACCCAAATATTAATAATATTAACAAACTGATTACTATTTCTACTAAACTATAAACTATATACCTAAAACATATTAAACACGACAATATTACCGACATTTTTTTTTGTTTCCCTAAATTTTAGTGAAAGATATAATCGACGACTTAATGGAAAATTTGAATCATCCAATGATGTTTTTCATCAAGCTGCAGCAAAATTTCGTTCAACTGAAGATATTACACGTTATTCACAATCATCATTAACATCTACAGAAAATTTATCAATATATAAACGTAGTTATTCTAGTGATAATGTACCATCAGATTATCATAGATTAAAAGTTGATAATTCATGGCAACTAAATGATGAACCATTAATTATAGAATATTCATATGAAAAAATTAAAGAGAAATTAAATCAATTAATTGAAATAGCTATGAAAAAACAAATTGATATTCAAACAATACCACAATTTATAGCAATAGCATTAGAAAAAGAATATGGTCGTAATTGGCATGTAATTATTGGACCATATAAAGCTGGTTGTGCTGTAACACATTTAATTGGACGATTCTCTAATGCTCAATATGCATCATATCATGTGATTGCATTTCAAACATTGGATTTGTAAAGTGTTCACCTTCTTTCTTTCTTTCTTTCATTCTTTCTTTCATTTGTTATTGTTACTACCTTTTATATCTTACAATTTACTTGTTCATTATATTCTATTGGTAATATGGAACTTGTGTACCTATCACTAGTATGCTTTGTTTATTATTTATATTGCAATATGACAATTTAGCTAATGTTATGTATGGATTATATATTCTTTCGAATAACACTAAACTTGAATGTTAGCATAGAGAACTATGGAAAACGGTTGTATAAGTGTTGAAATAAATAATGAAAAAAAGAAGATAAAGGTAACTCTTTGTAATTTATAATTTAAGTCATTGATCAATTTCAAGTGTATGTCCTCAGTTTTTAAACTTTAACTATTAATATTATTACTCTGACATCCATACTAAAATAGGTGGGGCTGAGTTTTAACCTAATGACTTAGTGATTTTCACAGATTGAACTCGTGAGCCAGTTGAAGCTAGACCACCATTGAAAACCTGGAAGCACTGGACGGCCGTTTCGTCCAAGTATGGGACTCCTCAGCAGTGCGCATCCACGACCCCGCACCACCCGGGGCTCGAACCCAGGACCTACTGGCTTCGCGCGCGAGCACTTAACCATTAGACCACTGAGCCGGCATCCAACGGTGTTAATGTCTAACTTCAACCAATCCACGAAGTTGCGTCACCGTACACCATTGTCTTCAGTGAGTTCCTATCTCACAACAGACCTGATTGAACTCCACTGGTAACGACTTCTCACTAGAACTCCAGAAGTGTCTCCTGAAGTCAGTCACTAGTGAGCAGGTGATTGTTATTATCAGAATGTGTTGAAAGATTGAAAGATGAATGGTTTAAACATGAAGCCATTGTTTAACTATGAGGGGAAAGGGTAAATAAGTTCAGTAATCGAATAAAATGAATGAAATGAATTTCAACTCAGAATATTGTTATGTCTTAATCGCTTGTTACTTATAGTTAAAAAAAAAACGAGGAATCACTGTAATTCTCATGAAGCGAGTAAGTATAGATTTGATTGTATACCCATTTTGATCATTAACTTAGGATGAAGTCACACATGTGAAAAATACTCAGAGTGTAGCGGTAAATAATTCCCCAAAATAAATAGCTCTGCAAGTTTTCGACATTGGATGCTGACCACATGTTTTAATAGACTCACCTAGCTGAAGGCGCTCGGTCATGCATGCGCATCAGATCACGTGTGGTAACGCTGTGCTCAACATCTACCGCAATCGCTAGCCAGATTAGATCAGAGAATTTCGATATATTGGTAATCGCCAAATACACTCTTCCAATCTCCTCGACTCTGTCTTTTGATTTCTCTTGGTGGGTACGAATTATATTAGAAGGTGTTGCTGGTAAAAGCGTTGTCAAACACTGAATACCTGTGCCATCTTCAAGAGTTATAACAAGTCACATACTGCGTGTCATTCTGGGCATAGATCATGTTAATTTAATACAAGAATATTGTATCATGGACAAACAGCAAACTCAAATAAATTAATGATCTAACGAATAAAATACCACAATGGGAAACAAAATAAATACTACACTGAGTAATTAATACATTGAATTAAAACGGAAGTAATGCTGAATAAAAAACACAATGAGTAAAAGAATGTTAAGTTGTTTTTTGATGAAATATGTAGGAATAAGTGTCTATCCAAAAGGTTGTTGTTCTTTTACGTACTCGTTGGGATCTTCACCGGTTGTATGGTCGTGTTCCCGCTTCCAGTTTGTTTTTTCAGCTTTATTTGAAAAAAAATCGACTTAATCTTTTAACAATTATGCTCTGCTCCTTTGTTTAATACATATAAGATTCTCCCTCCCCCACGAAACAATGTTAGGTCTTCATGTACCCACGTTACAAATAATGTGACTTTGTTGACCTGAACTGTCTTAACACTACTCACACCTTCATTATATATGCGTATTGGAGAAAGTCGGTATACATAAAGGTTGAAAGATCCTTTTATATGATCTTGACTTGTATGAGTAATATTATACATGGTAATTTTTCTCACCTTTCATATGAAAGAAATACGATGTCACTATTCTGTTCACAATACGAATAAGCATATTTTAGATTTTGACTTGTCAGTAACAAAGCATGTAATTTATATAGGCTCTCTTTGTCTCCAAAGCATTTGAACGGGATATCTGTACATGTTTCATACCGATTAGGATCAGCAGGTGGCTACGTTCTACATACAGGTATATTGCAATTGAACTGACTTTGAATTAATGAAACAAGGTTTGACTTTTTGTATGTGACATTCACTTTGTCGGAATAAGCAAGATAAATATCATCAGGTTTGTTGGGTATTTGTAGATGGCTATGGCAATTTTGAATCAGGAAAACTACCTTCAAGTCGTGTATGTACTCAGAAGGTTATAATTCATGAATTATTTAATACAATAAATGAAAACTATTGTTAACTGATTACACTTCAGATAGAGTAACGTAGGTTCCTCCTTGGAAGTGTATTCATTTAATCTGTCATAAGTTTTGATACCACACTCCGGTCTGTTGTGAGATAGTAACTCACTGAAGACATTGGTGGATTTGTCGCTCAATTTCATAGATTGGTTGAAGTAAGACATTAACACTGTTGGATGCCCGCCAGCTCAGTGGTTTAATGGTTAAGCACTCGCGCGCGAGACTGATATGTCTGGGGTTCGAATTTTGTGGGGCGAAGTCGTGGATGCGCACTACTGAGGATTCCCACAATAGGAAGAAACAGCCGTCCAGTGCTTCCAGGTTTTCCATGATGGTCTAACTTCGATTGACTCATGATCTCAACCATTGAACAATATATATATAAAGTTAATAAGAAAACAAGAAAAAGTAACTGTTATAATAAAACTATTGACTAATAAAATTACTGGAATGATTTAAATGAGCACTTTTTTCACGGAACTGATTGTCAAATTATAAATGAAGTGATATTCAGTGCCAGAACTATTGAATCAACTGTATATCTACATACATTTGAGACTTAAATCTTTTATACACATAAATAAAATACTCAACAAAGATAGTATGATTTAACGAATAAAAAAACAACAAGTAAAGAACAAAAATCAACATTACGAACCGATCAATACATTTTCTCTTCTGTTCAGTTGTATCTATAACAAGTTACTTTACATTCTGATTGATCTCGAGTAATGAAAAGCCTTTTAATTGAACGCTAGATTTTGTTCCTAATCTCTTTCAGTTACCGCCAGGCTAAATCGACACAGCGACTTGAATAGAAGAAAAGAGGCGCAAGATATGGAAGAAATGCTTTGCTGTAAAAGTTACTTTGTGTACAGAAAATCTAGGGGTTTTATAGTATTTTATATGTCTTTGGGTTTCCGTAAATTTTGGAATGCTACTAAATATAGTATCAGTATAAGTAATCATCCAATCAGAAACTCGACATGCGACTTTTCACTATCTAGATGTTTCTGGCAAAACTTTTACTGAACGCTGATTGGATAAGTTGCTTCCTAGAGTTTTCAGAACCTTTCTTGGGTTTTTTCGAGGAGTTCCCTGGATCTCCCCAACAAGTTATATAACTTATAGTGTTTCAATAAGCTTGGATATTTAAATTTCAAAGTTTCACTGTTCATCTTTATGAATTATTACTTACTTACTTACGTCTGTTACTCCCAATCGAGCATAGGCTGCCGACCAGAATTCTCCAACCCACTCTGTCATGGGCATTTCTTTCTACTTATATCCAATTCTTGTTCATTCTTCTCATGTCTATTTCCATTTCCCGACGTAATGTGTTCTTTGGTCCTCCTCTTTTCTCTTGGCATGGAGGATTCCATGTGAGGGCTCGCCTTATGACACAGTTGGGTGCTTCCCTCAATGTGTGTCCTATCCACTTCCAGCGCTTCTTCCTGATTTCTTCCTCCGATGGAATCTGGTTTGTTCTCTCCCACAGTACGCTGTTGCTAATAGTGTCCGGCCAACGGATCCGAAGTATTTTGCGTAGACAACTGTTAATAAACACCTGTATTTTCTGAATGATGGCTTTCGTAGTTCTCCAGGTTTCTGCTTCATACAGTAGAACTGTCTTGACATTTGTATTGAAAATTCTGACTCTGGTGTTGGTTGACAATTGTTTTGAATTCTAGATGTTATTCAGTTGTAAATTTTATGAACTATACAATAATAAAATATAGGAACTTAAAAATTTCACTGTATATTTTCATGTAATCAACAAAGACGATTAGTAAAAAAAGGTAAAATGTTGGAGTTTTGTTCTCTGAGCTGGATGGTTTGGTCGTGGAGCTTTCGTCGTTCTTCTGAACAACATCATCAGCGCAAACTTCAGATAGAAGTCGTTCAGAAGAACAATGAAAGCTCCACAACCAAACTATCCAGTTCAGAGAACAAAACTCCATCAAAATCATCCTCCTGAGTTACAAATCTTCTCCATCATCTCAAAGGTAAAATGTATAGGGAAATCTAAAAATAGAAAGAGTTCTCTAAGCATCTTCATTTTCTATATTCATATTCACCGAGTTTCTTAAAACTACTCTAATAATCAGTTAGTATATAACTGGATTATATATATAGTATACATTGATTTGTTTTGAAATCTATGCCAATATAAATAATAACATAAATCTAGGGTCTGTTCTATCAAAGAACATTAGAAATATGACATGAATGTAAAGTATTTGCTTTTTTCTTTAAATCATTTCCAAAGCCTAATTTTCAATGTAACGTATATTACTTTATTAATAATGATAAATAAAAAGAGACTAATTTGAACTTACGACAATATAACTCGAGTTAATCAAGAGCAAAAGTGTATGTTGCATTTTAGATACCTCCGGTCATTGCAAAAACTGTTAGAGTTCCGTACATTCAAATTACATGCTACTTGGTATTAGGTAGAATGGTATATCTATAACCACAGAAGTGGTGGAAACCTTTGTATCCATAATTATTACATCTAAATTGTAAATATTATTTTATTGTAATAATACATTATTAACTACATGTGGAGAAATTCGAACACTTCACCTCTATCTGAAGTTTGTGCTGATGATGTCGTTCAGAAGAACGATGAAAGCTCCACAACCAAACCATTCAGCTCAGAGAACAAAACGCCATCGAAATCATCCACCTGAGCTACAAATCTTCTCCATCATCTCATACATTATTTAATTTCAATTTCATAATTTATATAACTTGAAACTTAATGATAAAACAGACAGAATCTCATCTTATGTCTGTTATGATTAGATGTGTATATTCCTGTTGGTAATCCTCGTACTTAGAATTTCTTATGA